GAATTTATATGTACATATATTCATGTGTACAGCTTGTTTTAAAAGTTAATAATAATTTAGTAATACATAGAATTAAAAACGAAAATTTATTCAGCGATACGTATATAACAATTATACTTCAATTCTGAAGCCTTCTTTCCCTGCATAATTTATTCATAATTCTATTTTCTCATTGTATCGTATTTTCAATTGTTCTCTTCGTTTTAATTTTTTTTCTTTCTTTTTTTTTTTTTCAAAAAATTCCCCTTCTATATCACGGTTTTCCGAAGAGAAACGGTTTTGAGAATATTTTTCTTAATTCTTTCGGACGGTTCACCGATCGCGATTTTTCTTCAGACTCGCGCAACGGAACACGGTTATGCTCTGACGGAAATAACTTTCCACGCTAACTAAACCCGCATACGAAATTCTTGCCTAAATCTGCCGCGGGGTAACACGTCCCTTTCACATTTTTTTCCTTCTCTCTCTTCCCAATTTTTTCTTTTTTCTTTTTTTTCTCCTCCGTTATTCCAGTCGCGTTACTTTCAAGCGAAAGACTACGTTTCCAGCAGTGCAGGTTTATGCAACTTTTTCCATTGATTCTTCGTATTAAATGAGAGTCGTGGTTGAACGTTGGCAATAAAAATAGCAAATCCCCCTCAATGAGTACCGTAGGGCGCCAGACGAATCATGATTAATAATGTCGTGAATTTGAGCGATATTATTCACAGAGAGCATAAATCATATTTTTTTCCCCGTTTTATTTTTATTTCACTCGTTATTCTTCTTTTCTTCATCTTCTCGAACAATCATTGTCAACTTTTTAATATGTAATTGTTGTTAAAAAAAAAAAATTATACTTTTATTACTCGATTCGATCGCATCTCAAAATTATCTATCCATCTCAAAATTTTTTCATTTAATCGTTATTCCTTTGTTCACTCGAAAATTTTGATTCATTCGATTCGAATTAACTTTGCCTTTAACTATACTTCATATAATGGATTCGAAAAACATCTCTGGCCCGAGAAGAAATTCGTTTTTGCTTTACGACGACAGTGGAATTTCACGGGATGTTTATTGCATGTTCACCCTGAAGACAGTCGTAAACTTTACCCTCGGCATTTTGATTGATAATAACCTCGAGTAATGTATTGTAAGGGATAGATGTCTTCACGGTGTATCTGTTTCTCGATTCAATGTAAAATAGCTAAAAATATCGATGATAAGTGTTCCCTTGGACGGTTGGATGTTTCTATTAGAAATTAATGGAGGATCCTGCCGGTAGATCAAACAGAAATAATGATGTTACTACCAGATGTTTGAGGTACAAGTTAAATAATTGAGAATTTCCAGAAAGCCAATTTGAAGTTTTCCAAGACACTCCAAAGCAGCAGAGTTGGCTAAAATTTATCTTAAATAATTATTTCAATATAACTATAGTACAAATTATTTATATATATATATATGATATAATAATATATTTGTTCCAATACTTTCTTTTCGACAAGATCATCGAAAATGAAATTTTAATCAACATCCATTTTAATTAAAAATTTCTCCTCTACTTTTTTATTCGCAACATCTTTTTTTATCATATCATATTTTGCAATATCGACAATTTTTCTCATCATTCGATCAAATCTTTTCGATGAATATTGTGCAAAAAAACGTACATATCTATACATAGTTAATATCTATCGTAGTGAATTATTTTTTTTTTTTTGCACCACTTTTATTGACACCTTTCCTCTATCGAGTTTTGTCATCTTGACAACTTATTTAGACCCTGCGGCTCCAATTCCATCTTCACTCTATCTCTCGGTGTGTCAACACAGGGGAAGACCGTGGAAAGTGTATACAAGAATAGGGGCGATCAAATTTCGGAAGCAGGTGGTTAAAACGTTTTCAACCGGTAAGGGAATCTGGCTTCTCCACCTTCAAGCTCGTTCACTCAGCCAAGAGCAGTCAACACAAAGGCTTCTGGCCGGATTTGCCGAGGTTTACACCGTCGGTCCGCTTTCTTTAGGCTCGTTTCACACCACAATAAATCTAGTCTCTTCCTTCTACCTTTTTCCTTTTCGTTACGCGTTAATTTTCTTTCTTTTTTTTTTTTTTACGTATTTCTTTGTCATCTTCTTTAATTACTTTGGATTTATAACGCTTATTGGAGATTACGATCTGCTTGAATTATTAAAAAATATATATATATATATATATATATATTTTACCTTGACATAGAAAAGCACAGCAACGGTTTATTATCGGAACGGTTGTGACATTGTAAACAAGCCATATTTCTATACGTTGAGGTAACAACCTATATATTCATTTCACCGTGAACAATCGGAGATAATGATAGAAAAAGAGAAAAATGATTTAATAATAGCGATAACACGTTAATATAAAATAATATAATTTCTAATATGATAATTGAATCATAATCAATTGTTGTTCTACATTTAATTCCAACACAGATACAGATATAATAGCTTGATTTTAACAAATCAAAGTAAGCAACTAAACACCAAGAATCTCGTCTCGAATATTTCCATTATTTGTACGTTAAATTATTCGTTATCGCATTTTGTTTTCACAAAAATTAGAAAGAAAGAATATTATCGAAGAAGCCCAGGGATTATATTCCATCCGCCTTTTCATCCGCGTCGAAAAACTGGAAGAATGATGGAGAAATGGCGTTGAAATGAATGGGGAGGATAGACGAGATTGAAAAAGTGAAGGATGAAAGAAAAAAAAAAAAAAATTTCGGAAAACTGACTCTCATATTTCACTAGGGTCGACCTACATGAAATTCAGAAAAATCCCTTCCACTAATTATACCGATCCTATAATGATCCCTCTTCTCCATTATAAAAGGCATAAATTCATTTCAACTATTTCTTAAAAAAAAAAAACGATTCCTTTCTTTCGTTTGAATGATTATATCCCGATGTATATCGAACAAAAATTCGATGGGATCAATCGTCTCCTCGATCGATTTTATCATCGTTTCGAAAGAGAGAATTCACAGAATCTTCATCAAGGATATTTTAATTCCATCGAGGTTGGAATAAGGAGAAACTGTAAACCTCTCGGTTATTAGTATAGCCCATTGTCGAGTAGGTCTCTGGGTTCCCAAAGGTAGCGTGAGCGTGATCTATAACTGTGGACAGTGGTTGGAAACGCACGAAGGATGAAACTGTCTGAGGCCGAAGGAAAGGCTACACTATACCGTTCACGAAGGTCAACTTCTGTCAGAGCTGAGGCAACCGCCGGCGTTACCTCTGTGTCTGCGGTTACACACAATGCAGATGCTGGCGTGTTAAAAACGTGTCCCAACAGATCGATTCAGCGTAATATCGTAGAAATTTATTTTACGACCCCTGATGCGATGTTTCGCTTTTCGGCGATACACCAATATTCTCTTCTCGAGGCGTAGCGAAGTCTTTAATTAGCATTGAAAGTTGCGATATCCATTGATATATATAGTAACCTCGAAAGTTGGTAGAACAGTTTACCCTCTTAATGGAAATTGTGCCGAAGGTATAGTTTTACTTCGTGTTGTCCTCACTTGTTTTGCCCATATTTTGATATAGTATAAATTTTCATAAGTAAGCAATTTATAATCTTGCATCTGTTCTGTGAAAGTTATATATTATGATATATAAATTTACAGGTTTAAACAGGATGTGAGATAAATATTTATAATATCCAATTTCCACGAAGGATTCAGTATTTGTTCAAATATTATATATTTGATTAATATATTTGATAACGAAATTATATTTCAAGATTGATTTTGTTTTATAGGAATTTATATTTACGCATCTTTATGATAGATATTCGAATTGAAGTACACGCAAGTGTATCAAGATAGTCAGTGTTAAAATATTTATCAAAATATGCAAAGTGATCAACACCTAATGCTATACGACGTGTTTTTCAACGTAGGATAATAACAGGTTATCCATCAGGTTTTAGGGAAACGAAAAATTCAAATATTTTTAATGTAGATCGGATAAATATAGCGAAGAAATTTATACCTATACGTGAAATTAACAAGATCATAATTATATTACGATTATAATTAAGGAATTTTATTTTGATACTTTGTCAAAATATTTTTAAAAAATCAATTTTTATCTATCTATATGGCTGTTTATAATACCACGCAATATTATTAAGATACCACGATATCGTTATGCCTCATTATTTCTTGTCCCGATATGAATGATATAGTTAACTTATTGCGCATCGTGACTGTTTTTTAAACAGTAAATCTGGATCGAACGGTAAAGTATTGCGCGCAACAACATGGCCAAGATGATGATCGATGGCCGGCGGTCTGTAATTTCAAAATGAAATCAAATTACCCGCGTTTTTTTTTCCCCTACCGGATCGGCAATATATTTCGTTTGCACCGAACCAGTTTGCGTCGGGACATCGTAACTCGAGGTCGTTTCGTTTTGTCACGTAATCGTTATTGATTAATGAAAATTATAAGATCACGGATTATTTGAAAATATACATCAGGGTTAAATTAAGTGGCAACAAAGTCTAATTTCGATAAATTTCACTTTTTTCGCTTGCTCGATATTATATTTTTATATATATATATATACGTATATTCTAATTTTTATTTCAATTCGAAATCTCGAGCATCTTCGGTTAAAATCGGGCAATGTCGGTTAAAGTCGGATCGAGATCTCGAAAGTATATATACTCATGACATTAAGACTACCAATTTAATTTCATATATTCTAAAACAAATTTTGTTGATTTTTTATTAAATTGAAAATATTTATTTAATAAAAATTTGTATTTGTTTAATTCGTTGATGCAAATAAATAATATGATAGAAAATTCTAATTTCCAATCATAATAAATCATCGCAATATTTATTTTAAAAATTTTCAATTTAGTAATTTTCATATTTTCATATTTCATTATCATACTTCAAAAGGGAAAGAGGTTATGAAGTATTAGTTATAATATATTAGTTATAATGGAATAATATTTACCTACGTCGATTATGTAAGTGGAAGCACGTAATCGTCGTGTAGGTGACTAGAGATTGAAAGTTCCTTGTCGTGGGTCAGTAGAGGAAAATCCATTGATACCTTTCACCAGTCATTGACACACTCGCATCAGATGTCGCACGTTCATCGAATGAGCGTTGGGCACGCGATCGCGTCAAGAAAGTAATCATCGAGAGTCGAGTGCGAAAGACAATTCGACATGGAAACCGTACCGTGAGAGGTCGCGAAATGCGTATCTAGCATCGAGTCGCGTGTTTGAACCTGTCTTAACGAGACGTAAGAAGCGAAACAAGTTCTAAAATGGAACTGCATCTCAGAGTCAAGTTTTGTACGGTGCCGACAATTCAAAAAAGGGTAGCTATGTTTAGCACCCTATATTTTCTCCGCCTAGATTCTGATGTCTCTTCTGTTTTTATGAAGACGAAAGTGAAGTTGAAAGCGTGAAAGCTAATATTACTAATTTTAAATATAGTAATAAAATAAAATACTATGCATAGACGATCGAACGAATATAAAAATAGAACGAAAGTATATTTGTTTTCTCAAAGATGAAAACCTGAAATTCATCGTTTTGTGAGGTTGGTACGAGTACCGATATTAGAGGTTATGTTGATACTCTATACTTTTCGTTCACGTTATGGTACAAAGTAAAATTAATTCACCGTGAATAGAGTGAAATCTGGGATCGTGAAAATTGAACGACAGGTTACAAAGATGAATAGTCACGTAAAGAGCGTGGGCGACGAATATAAGCGATGATCAACGATCGCCCTAGCGATTCAACGCGGTTAGAAAAGAAAGTTATAACCTAACCTTAATTATGGTTGTTATAAAAATAAAACCAATGAAAGTCCGTTGACACCATGATTGGTGTGACGAATCCATGAATATTGGTAACTTTGAATTTTGGCAAAATCTAAATTAAATCAAATTTATCGCTCTCGCAAATTTAAATCCAATTTCTGAACAAAAGAGACTTAATTTTTGTTGATTTTACAGCTGTACAAGATATTTCATAGTTATATATTTATTAAAACAAAAAGTTATAGAATTTTCTTTTCAACATCCTTGTTTAAAATATAAAAAAAGATTTAATCGCTGATTATATTTATCATATAACTTTAAAAAAATTATTCGATACAATTTGATACAAACTCACTCTTTTTATCTCTAATATAATTCATATTTTAAAAAATTAAAAATAAATTTTAGATATCTCACTTACAATTCTAGGGACTTTTTGTTTTCATTTCTATTAAAAAGTACGAATTAAAATATACAGAAGAATGAATTTGCAATGTATACATTTTTTTTGTTGCACGAAAAAAATATTGCATGACAAAAGTTGCGTGCTATAGAAATCAATAATTGGTATTATTAATTTTTTTTACAAATGGATATTAAAAAAAAAAAAACAAATGTGGCCTTCGTGTCTTTCCACTCTGAAAAGAAATTAATAACACTAAATTACATCTCCCTTTTCCATCATGCAACTTTTGCATGGCACATTTTTTTCGTACAACCAATAACAATAATTGTTGCATGATTCATCCTGTATAACTTGCGATGTCCATCATCGAGTATCATCATCCGTGAGATGTTGAAGATATCATCACAATCAAGAGTGCGCGTCTCGTAGATTGTGTCACGGTGACATGAGGATACACAAGTCGACCAATAATCAATCAGTCAATCAGCCAGTCACTCGGTTGGATCATTGGTATGCGCCCGTTTGAGACTCGTTCAGCATTCACCACGCGTAATTCACGGCGCCGAGAGACGCGCGATCACTTAATGCCCAAGTATGTTAATGGAGTGCGTTTCGAGTTCTCCTACGCTGTATGCTGGCAGATTAGAGATGAATTGCCGTAATATGCTCTATTATATGATACACGTACGTTTTCTATGATCGCAGACATACGGCGGGCAATGGTATTTAAAGCTGACACAATTTCTAACACGATAATCGTTCCTTTAAAGTCGTATTTACCTTAACGCCTAATTAAGATTTCCGACCGCGTTCCTCACATTCCTCGAAATCGTATCTCCTTTGTACCGGAAATGCTATTCGCGAGAAGAGAATCCCCCGATTTCTTCAGCCTTTAGACCATCATCTTTTCACCTCATTATTATATGTATTAAGTACAGTTCTGCTCGAAAGTCTTGGGGCAGTCATATTCAATTCTGAAGGAAATCCAATACGCTTTACTAAGATTTTATTTAAAATTTCTAATACGATTGATTAATTTATAATGTAAAAAAGAAAGAATAAAGATGTAACAAGAAATTTTTACAATATTTGAAATTTATTAATAATTTGTCAAGTTCTTCAAGAACGAAAAATAATCAAAAAAAAAAAAAAAGAAAAGAAAACATCAAATGATAAATAGAATCTCTATAATAAGAATCCAATATTAAGAACTATAAATTTAAGACTACTCAAAGTGTATTAGGCAATATATCTTGTGATCATTGCGGCTAACTATCCGCGTTTGTTTTCATTTGCATGATGTTTCACAAGATGCCACCTATTAATAGGTGAACGAGCAGTACAGTGACTTTGTCTAAACGGGATCATCGACCAAGTTCCCTCCGTACAAATGATGTCAGTAGAAAAAGATTTCATTGTTCGGTTTAAATTGGCTCCTCTCGATTCTAGTTCGGATACAGTTGATGTATTTACAGGTGGATCGGTGTTGCAATTGCCTCTTTATATATAAAATTGACCGCCTCGCACTTGCATAACGTGGATACACATACAATATGACGTAATTTATCAGTAGGGCAACTTATCCAAATCGTAATTCGGGTTAAGTAATATCACGGTTGTTTCACAATTATCGTGGATCCTGCTGGATTCCCGTTGGGAACTGCATCAAAACGGCGACGTATCGACGTGTCCTCGTGGCGTGAAACTTCTCTATAAATTTCCCTTTCGCAAGTGAGCGCACTGTGGTGAGCAACAGGTACGGGGTTAACACGCAATATCGTTGATAATTATTCGAACGAATCGGTAGTTTCTTTACTGATTTAACATCGTGAAATCGTAATAAATATTCTGATCCGTTAGCACAATTCGTCGAAACAATTATCGAAGATAGAAATTATGTTTATTATGTTGTTTATGGTTCGAGAGAAATTTTGTTTCAATTTTGTACATAGCAGATGCGATTGGATTATTATTCGAAAAGAAAGGGAATAGTATGAGGATTGGATAGTTTTTTTTTTTTTATTTAAAATAAAGGGGAATATAGAACAGATTATTTTCTAAGTTTGTTGGTTGAGTATTTTATTATTTTAAGATAATAAGAGAAAATAAGAGATAAGAGATTAATTAAGGTGATGAAAGTTTCTTTAAAATATCTGTAAAAGTAGCTAGTAAATAGTGTCTAAAGAAGATATGTAAGATGATTGAAGTCCATCCAGTATACATAGAATAATTGGAAAGTAAACTTTGTAACTAAAATGAGCTTTAATGGATATTTAATGGATATTTGCCAATTCTGTATGCTCTCGGGATTATATTCTTATTTCGCCATAAATTCTCCTCTTATGAATGCAACAGTGTTATACGGTTAAAGAAATGAAATCAACGCAGCTATTCGAAATGTGGCATCTTATTGTAGCGATGAATATCATTAAACAGTCTTTAAGTTTATGGTCGCAATTACACGGGATACTTTCGCATCCTCCGGCGTCCAATCTCGAAACAAACTGATGCCTGGAGCTCGAATAATCTGGATCCCTTAGATAAAAAGCAGATATCGTTCTATAAATCATCCATTGACTGTATATTAAACTGTTGATTCATTGGCAATCTATTTACATATTTTTCTATTTTTTTTTTTCTTTCATTCGTTAAAGCTTCTTCCATTTTTATTATTGATTTTTTTCTTCTTGGTAAAAGATCACGATCAATTCGATTTAGGCGTCGAATTTTTAAGTAAAAATTGTTATTTATCTCTTATTCTTTAGAAATATTTTTTCTTGATTTGATTTTTTTGTTATTAGATAGAACAATAGAAGAAAATTCTATTATTTCTTTTTTGATTATTTCATAATTTGGCAAATGATTCGAATCATCTCGAATTATAAAATTAGGAGTAGAATTTCTTTTTTCCTGCTTTCGTTCTAATTAAAAATTTACAATGCATTATTATTTCTTAATGGAAATATTTAATATAATAACGAGTCATATTTTTATTTTTCGAATCAACATCTATCGATCAGATTTTCGATCAACTTTGAGTATTTTTTACTTGAAATTGTAATTTCTTTCACATAATGAAATTTAGAAAGGCGATTTCTCTGCTTTCTTCAATTAAAAACAAATATATTATTTTAGAAAATTATTTAAACGCTGGAACAAATGGCGGTAACTGCATCAGATGGAATTTCATCCTCGAGGTCACTCGGTTTTCATAACATGGAATTGTAACCAAATGTCATCATGAAAAGTGATGCGCTTTCTGACAATTAATTCTGAAAAAATAATGGAGATCTACGGAATAATCTTACGAAATATAATAACAGTTTATAATTTTTTCAAATAAATTTCTATTTATAATTTTTATAAAATGAAAACATTAATCGAAATTTAATAAGAAAGTCATAAATTCTCAAAAAATTATCAGAAATTATAAATTAATTAATTATAAAGTATACTTGATCAATTCCATTGAGGTTAATTGTTTAATATTCGAAAATTTAAAAAAAAATTTTAAGTTTTGAGAAAATAAAGAAATTTTCAAAGACGATGGAGTCGAGTTTATCTTGTGAATAGCTCGTATCTCATCGCATGAAAGAGTAGACACGAAAGAGTTAAGAAACGGAAGTCAAACTGCAATTTAACGCGTCGAGAATGAAACATTGTGCGCGGCACAAACAGGATCCCTCACGCACGCGGGCAAACGTGTCCATTTGCGAACGGATATTTCCTTCAATTTGCAACCCGTATTATTATCTGGTTGCATCGCGTTTCGGATCTCTTCGCCTCTAGAATAATTCCGAAATCCTATCCGCGCGAACCATAAAATATCCGGCTTGGGAAATCTCGCGTCCATCGCTGTTCAAATTTGCAATCTTACTACACGTGGCCATGCCACGGACGTTCGGATAGTCCGCAATTACGTCGCCGGTACACAACACCGGTTAGCTGCGGGGTTAATTGTGCGATCGAGATAAATATCGCGATCTTATCGCTAAACGATTAAGCCCCA